TTGTTTCATTAAAATAATGCAGCTAAATAAACACCTTTTTGCAAATACAACAAGGAACATTATTCAAACGGACTTCAAAAAAGTCTGAATACTCCTGCCAAGTCTAGCCGAGGGGGCAGTAGAGAGAGAAGTGTGTTTTAATTGGAGAAAAGACTGTTGTTACTGGACTGCGAAAACAGTGATAACGAACTGTGGAGGGTACTACGTCTACAAGCTGAACAAAACACCGCATTGTACACTTAGATATTGTGGAGATGGACGTCTTCAAGGTAGGCGACTTGCTGGGATAATTACCCGTATTTGTGGCAATTTGATAGCGCGTGAGTTCACTCTTGTCCCTTGAGACAACGAGTGCAAATTATACCTGTAAAAATAGCTCTAAAAACTAGTAAAAAGTGTTGTTTGGTGATAAGAGACGCAAAGTAGTATAATTTAGCATTATGTTGTTGGAGTCGTTGCACTAGCAGACTACTAGTGGAAGACAACAGTAACAAGTTTTCTGTTTTGCAGTAACGACCACTGCTCCTCAAACGACAACTGTTTCCACGACAACCACTCCTACTCCTCAACCGACGACAACTCCAGGTAACGAAACATACAGAAGCAGTGATAAACATTGATCGAAATAAATAGCTGAAAGCAATGAATGTATATACGAGATGCACAATCAGGAGAGAGCGAACGGGTGTGGGTTACGCACGCTAGTCGATCACAGTGCAAACTCATAGTGAGATCATCTTACCAAWAGAAAAAGAAAATAAACAACTATACACGACTTTCAAAAAATGGCGGTAGTTCACGACCTTCAATATCAGGGGACAAGTGACGAATCATGGAAACGAGACCTCAAAGGCCTTCCATCTACAAAACCACTACGAAGATCCCATATTTGCAGTGCCCAAAAGTTTGAAAAATATATTGGTATGTTATTACACTCTTGCAAAACCCCATGAAAGTTACTATACGGAGGCTGGCCTCTGAGACCTCGTTTTAGTGCTTCGTCCCTAGTCGACGTCCGTGACATATCGAGCCATTTTTGAAAGTCGCGAATTATGTTTGCTTTAGATGAATGTCTTGCATACAAAGTCCTCGATTCCGCTGACCGAGCACAAAGCCAAGGTCCCCTCGACAACGGAAATTATAAATGCGACAAATCGCTAACCGCTGGATGGTATAGGTTTTCAGGCAGCGCGGGCTCACACATGGCTACGTCATGCGTTCAAAGATTTCACTGCGGTACCCATTCCACTGGCTGGATGAATGACACGCTGCCAAGTTTCGCCGAGGGAAAGGTGGCACGACAAGTTTGTTTTAACTGGAATGGTCATTGTTGTCACTGGAAGATTACGGTATTGGTGAGAAACTGTGGTGGATTTTGCGTGTACAACCTTAGAAAACCACCAAATTGTCGACTGANAAAATGCAATAGAAAAAAAGGAAAACAAGAATAAAAACAACACAACAACACTAACACAAACAACACTAACAAAAACAACACTAACAACAACACTAACAACAACACTAACAACAACACTAACAACGACAACACTAACAACGACAACACTAACAACAACACTAACAACGACAACACTAACAACAACACTAACAACGACAACACTAACAACAACACTAACAACGACAACACTAACAACAACACTAACAACGACAACACTAACAACAACACTAACAACGACAACACTAACAACAACACTAACAACGACAACACTAACAACAACACTAACAAAAACAACACTAACAACAACACTAACAACGACAACACTAACAACAACACTAACAACGACAACACTAACAACAACACTAACAACGACAACACTAACAACAACACTAACAACGACAACACTAACAACAACACTAACAACGACAACACTAACAACAACACTAACAACGACAACACTAACAACAACACTAACAACGACAACAACAAATACACAAACAGCCGAATAAAAGTAAAAGTAAACAGCAACCTCACTAAACCAAACGAACAAATAAACAACTGATAGTCAGTCGAACTAACAAATAATCTCACCAATTCTCTTTGGAAAGCTTTCTTCAGTTCAGCAAGTTTTGCTTGTAATAACTTGATTTTCTGACAACAGCATAATAACATCACAAATATAAGTTTGAACAAAGTTTTCAAAAAGCTTTCCTGTCTCGTCTTACCTTTTCTTTTTCTATTAATTCGCTTTCTTGTTTTCGATTTTCGTGTCTTAATTCTCTGAGCTGYGAAAGAATACAAAAGAATGAGGAAGATTGGACGCCATTAGACATGATGGTATAAGAATGCAAATTAWAACGTACTTCGTTTTCATCCAACTGTAACATCTAGAGGAAAAAAAGAGATCATCAGAATTCAAAATTAAAACTATTTGTARTAAACTGAGTGATTTGAATRATCACTTGGAGCGGTWGACGAKCAGTGAATCCTRCTTCAAACTAGTTAATTTGCCGCGAAATGTGCGCCAATTTCATCTTAATCCCGAATTGCACGAGTGAACATCCTACAAGTTTACAGCGAATTTACTGCTGCGCTTTCACTTTATACTTGCATACGAAATCGCTCAGAATATGAAGACYGTTCACAAGTACAATGCAGTCCCACAAACATCGCCTGCGATGATGTGTAAACAACCACAAGACCGGGCCTTRATGAGTTTTTCGTCTTTCAAAAAATAGTTAAGTATTCAATTAACCTCTCGTTCGCTGTGTTGTTGTTGCAAATCTTTAACTTGCTGTCGTAAAGCAGCGATGACCCGATGACTGTCTGTTGGAGAAAAATAACCCGTTGATGATGATGATGATGAACAAANATTGGCTCAGCCGAATTCCGCTTCTTTCTTAAACATGGATTAAAACCAAGAAAAAGCAATTAATATTTTTATAAGATAATTTTCCAATTTTAAAACAACTAAAACACAACGACACTGAAAGATAGGTGTTGCGGAATCGACATAAACGCGCTAAGTTATTAAAATATACGTCTGATAATCAGTTTTATTATATTTTCAGGACGATTCATTGTATGTCAGTATCGAAGACGTATTCTTCGATGTCCGTTYGGCAAACGCATMAAAATTCGATACGCCAACTATGGACGGACAAGTAGGAGRGTTTGCCGYCATTTTGCCATCTCCTCCATACGATGTTTCTCCAAGAGGGCTGCTTWTTTGATACGCCGAAAATGTAATGGCCGGCTTTTCTGYCGTCTGAGTGCCAAGAATTCCATATATGGGAATCCATGTTGGGGAACTTTTAAGTACATACACGTGAACTATCAGTGTATTTGAAAAGTACGTGGAGTAAGATGGTAGATATGAGTAGGATAGAACCTTGGTTTTATATTTTATGAATATATAGATAGCTACACTGGAAAAAATCGCGCGCTTTAAAGTTTGTAAATTTGATGTAAATATGATATAAGTGTCCAAAATGATGGAAATTTGATCAAATTTACATCAAATTTACATGATTTTGGACTTTGGACACTTACATCATATTTACATCAAATTTACAACCTTTAAAGCGCGCAATTTTTTCCAGTGCTAAATCATTTATAATAGCAAAATAGTAGAGCATTTACAAGCTAAGACTTATACAAGTAAAGTCTCAGTAGATTGGAACCTCTTTAATCCGGCCCACTGAATGAACATCAAAAAGTGGCCGTATTAAGGAGGTGGCAAAATCTTTAATTTTTACTAACCGATGTCAATGTAGTGTTATAAGATAGCGGGTCGATCGCAATACAACTGCTATCGTTGTCGTCCCCAAGATGTCCGCTATAACGAGAGTTGGGTGTATTTGCTAGTAGAGTAGGCCATTACAAAGTCTTATGAATATCTTAAGATTTCATTATGTATTGATTTGTTATAAACAACATACTTATATAAAGGTTTCTCTGTCGCTCATAATGCGTCATGGGAAGGAGCAAGACGAAATAAAGCTAGTTTCTCTCCTTTTTTATGACGCTCGAAAGAGACGACTTGGGTTTCTCTGTGTCGCTCGCAATGCGTCATGAGAAAGAGGAAGACAAAATAAAGCTCGCTTCTCTCTTTCTTTTCATGACGCTAAAAAGACACGACTTATATAAAGGGTTTTTCTCAGTGTCGCTCGCTATGCGTCATGGGAAGGAGGAAGACAAAATAAAGCTCGCTTCTCTCCTTCTTTCGATGACGCTCGAAATGGACAACTGGGAACGATTCAGATGTGATAAAATCATAATTACATTTAGAGCCTGTATTAGAAAAAGTAAATAATAAAAACACTTTGTAATTTACAGCTTTATTGTTGTAGAAAATCTTGTACAAATCTCTAAATAACAAGTACTGTACACTAATTCGCTAAACGTTATCGGACAATGTACAAGGGTATCATTCAAAAATAAAGAAGAAAGAATATTAATAAGTGAACTTGAAAAGTGCACAAATGGCGTTTCCATCTAATTTTCAGTTTTAAAGACAAACTTTGGTGACAGATTTTTACATGGGTATTGTGTAATTGAAAGAAAATAAATTGAATTTAAACTGAAGAACATTTGAAAAGGAGTCAAAGTTGGACAATGAAGAAAAGCAGAGAAAAGAAATACTTTAGTGTACTTGTAACGGAAACCATAGTCAACCACTCTCCCCTCCCAATCCAATAGCAATTTTCCCCGCTTGTTTATCATATATTTTCTATCTCGTATATAAAATAAATATATCTATTGATTTCGCAACTTTCGAATTTCCAAATACGCATGCGCAAATTGGTCTCAGTCTCCTTAACTTTTTCGCGTGATGAAATGAAGACGTACTGACCGCCGTACTTGGCGAAGCTCTTTAACCCTTGTCCCGAGCATGCGTACTCGAAATTTCTGATCCTTATTCAAGTGGCAGCTAAAGATACAAATATAACAATGTCAATAGTTGAAAATGAGTTTTTGGCTAACTTGGGATATGTATTCACCTTCCATTCGGACGCATCGAGAACACATTTTCGTTCCTTGGGACTGAATCTCAGCATGTGTGATATGACATTGATGAGCTGCCKTGACTGACAGATGAAGAAAAAGATAAAATGAATAATAGGTACACGGATATTAAAAGGGACATGGTCCACCAGCATTCAATGCGGTCGTGTCTATAGATTTTTCATAAATGGAAAATGAGGTAGCTTCGAATATCCATTCGAAATCCGTTTCCATCCATCGGTTTAAATGTCGAATCTTACAGTATCTACATTTATTTAGTTAAAGGGATAATAAAGAGTAAGTTTTTGCTTATGTTATAACGTATTTTTATTTTCAAACATGAGCAAAATCTCGAAAGGAATGCTGGTGGACCATGGCCCTATAGTCTTCTATAGAAACTAATAGGGTTCCCCTGTTTACTATTGGCCTTCAAAAGGCACCGGTCGATATACGTGTGTGTTGGGGTGCCTGTGCACCTGGTGACAAAAAGGTTCACATTACTGCTATCATTACCTGCTTATTATCGCTACACATGTATTTTAAAACCACGTGTTTTAGATACTTAAAGTTCATGTCGAGATATTCCATTCTGTCTCGATCGGTCGCAGAAGAAGTGTCACTAGCTGGCGAATCGGGGATTTCTGGATGAGGTACTTCTTCACCAGGCACTGGTAGTTTCTGTAGAAGATTGCAGAGTATTTGTAATGATGAATTTGTACAATGGGATAGAGGAAGTATTTTTAAAACGAAAAAGAGGAGAGAGTGATAAGAAAGGAAAAAAAGAGGGAGAAATAATGTTAGGGAGGAATGGAACGAAGAAAGGCAGGAAGGAAAGAAGGAAAAAATACTTAAGAAAAGGATATAAAATGCAATAGAAAAAAAGGAAAACAAGAATAAAAACAACACAACAACACTAACACAAACAACACTAACAAAAACAACACTAACAACAACACTAACAACAACACTAACAACAACACTAACAACGACAACACTAACAACGACAACACTAACAACAACACTAACAACGACAACACTAACAACAACACTAACAACGACAACACTAACAACAACACTAACAACGACAACACTAACAACAACACTAACAACGACAACACTAACAACAACACTAACAACGACAACACTAACAACAACACTAACAACGACAACACTAACAACAACACTAACAACGACAACACTAACAACAACACTAACAACGACAACACTAACAACAACACTAACAACGACAACACTAACAACAACACTAACAACGACAACACTAACAACAACACTAACAACGACAACACTAACAACAACACTAACAACGACAACACTAACAACAACACTAACAACGACAACAACAAATACACAAACAGCCGAATAAAAGTAAAAGTAAACAGCAACCTCACTAAACCAAACGAACAAATAAACAACTGATAGTCAGTCGAACTAACAAATAATCTCACCAATTCTCTTTGGAAAGCTTTCTTCAGTTCAGCAAGTTTTGCTTGTAATAACTTGATTTTCTGACAACAGCATAATAACATCACAAATATAAGTTTGAACAAAGTTTTCAAAAAGCTTTCCTGTCTCGTCTTACCTTTTCTTTTTCTATTAATTCGCTTTCTTGTTTTCGATTTTCGTGTCTTAATTCTCTGAGCTG